GTACTTGGCAAGCAAACTACCGACGTCCAATCAAGATGTGGTCACTTCAGACTGAAGTGCTCCCCTCTCCAAACCCAGAGCCATGCTAAGCAAAATATAAAAAGAGAAACCAAAAATAGCTTTCCAAGGTCAAAAGACAAGCTACACATCCCCCGGACCACAGGCGGAACAGAAATGCACAGCAGTGAGCTAGGCGGAAGCTAGGGCCTCGCTCTGGAAGCAGGGAGTAGAGGCCCCAGTTCGGTTTCAGTAGTTAAACGGGGATAAAAAGGCTTCACAGGAGAAAGGTGAGTCGAGTCAGCTTTAAGCTTAAAGCCGGGGGAGGAGGTGAAACTCCCTTGTTTATAATAAGGAGGCAAAAAATTTAGGGCTCATGACCTGTTCCTTGAGCTAAATGTTTATAAGGAGCTGTGGGCCTGGACAGGCTAGGAGACAGGCAGAGCTAAGATGCCATCACCTAAGCAGCCGGAACTATGACAGCCAAAACACTGCTGTGATGCAACAGTTCCAAAGGCCACTGAGCCAGGGTCTGAGCTGGGGCTGAGGGGCCTGGGAGAGGAAAGTACAGGCTCCCAGACTGAAGCGATGAGCACATGGAGAGAAAGGAACAAAACCGAAACGAGCCCCCAAATGAGCCTGCTGTTCCAAATTCTAAAACACTCAGGGAACCGCAATGCTAAGGGAGGTAACCAACAAAAACCAACAATCAGAACACGATTTCAGTCCAGTAAAATAAACGACAGCACTGACTGACCACAGCTTAAAACAAGCATGACCAGGATGCTCAAAAAACAAACAACAGACAGGCGTGCATGAGAAGTAAGAGCTAGTTGGAGATAAAACATAAGCCGGGAGATACAGGGGAAAAGCGAATCTGAAGTCCTGGAAATAAAAAAGCAGTCATTAAACTAACTCAATAGCAAAAACCTTCCCTAGGACATGACTTAAGGGAGCTTTAGTTTTTGGGAAACATGGAATAAATTCCTGAAGCCAACAGGGTTGTGTTCAGGGAGCAGGGCTTGGGCAGAAGCAGAAGGAAAGCGTGCTAATTAGTTTTCAAGGGGGTGCCAGTACTTTGACTTTTCAAACTGTTTACATGTATCACTTTGATAAAAATAAAAGTAGAAACGTTAAAAGACTGCAAGAAACAACAGGAATGACAGATTACCTGAAGGATACGTAGTCCTTGTTCCCTTCTAGACAGCCTACAATCTACCATCAGAGTGATAAGGACCTAGAACATATATTTTTTCACCTTATTACTTCTTTCATTAAGTTATAATGTGAGATTATGTCGAGCACCCACATTGAGGGATATTCTGAGAATCCGCTATTTCCGTTGTGGAGTTCTGGTAAGGATGCTGGCCGGTCAACCCCAGGGTTCCCCGTGAGCACCTCAGGCCACAATGCCAGGGACAGCTGTGCTGCGGCTGAGGCCCCGGGTGTGAGCTTTGAAATTAGTCTTCTAGCTTTGGCTGCTGGGAAATTTAGAGTAAATTTGTGATTTATGGCTTGTATATAAAATCATATGGCATGCGTTCTGGGTACTAACCTGCTTTCACCTTATTTCTTGTCTCTATTTCACAAATCATAACATGTACTGCTGTTGTATGATACAGGAGTGGGCAAAAGTAGGTTTACAGTTGTGAGTATGAGGTTTATTCTTGAATTATTTCTTTATTTATATTATTTATTTGTATTATTTGCCTTCTTCTTATTGTTGTTATTTTTGTATACTTACTTATGATTTATCTTTTAGGTAATGTCTTTTTCCATACAAACAATTGTAAACCTACTTTTCCCCTCCCAACTCTGTATATATGTGTGAATACGTGTGCAGGTGTGTCTGTGAGCCACTTCAGAATCTTTTGGGTGGGGAAAAGGGTAAAATTAGATAAAACAAGTTGAAAAGAAAACAAGAGCAATGAGAAGAGGGGAAAAGACAAGAAAGAAGTAAACAGAAAAGAAACAACGGCATTTGGAGCCTGGGGTTATGACTTTGGAGGACAGCGAATGCCCAGGTAAGAGTCTGAAGTTGATCCTGAAGACTCAAGATATTGCTGAACACTGTATACTTCTGACATGGAAACGGTGGTACCTATGTATGTATGTATGTAAGTATGTATGTATTTTTTTAGCCTCACCTGAGGACATTTTTCCATATTTTGTTCAGATAGAGTGGGAGGGAGAGAGTGAGAGAGAGAAACATCGACGTGAAAGGGACACATCGAGTGGTTGCCACCCACACGACCCAACCAGGGCCGGGGACAAACTGTAACCGAGGTACGTGTCCTTAGCAGGAATCGAACCCAGGTCTCTCTGGACCGCAGGCCGACGCTCTAACCACTGAGTCAAACAGGCCAGGGCAGAAACGGTGGTATTTAAGAAAACATTATACAGCAGTGTGCAAGCTGTATGAAAGGGAAGAAACTGCAGGCCAGGTGACCAGTGAGGCCTCTTCAATCTAGGAGCGGGGCAGCAGGGCTGAGAGCAAATTCATAGAAACTGTTTTAAAAGAAGGATCAAGTGTAACAGGCTTTAGGAAAGAAAAAGTGTCATGGCAGGTAAATAAGGCTCCCCCTCAAACGTGTGACATCCAGGAAGCCCGCTACCTATTACCCACAACTTATGGAAACAATCAATTCCATTTGGTCAGTTCTACTTCTATTGCCTTGGATTTTGACCCGGGAAAGCCACAGGAGAAGTCAAATCATTCCAAAACCTCCTTTAGAGATAAATTTTACTTCTTTCAAAAATTAAGCTGCTGCTGATTGCAAATGACAACTAACTCCACACATGTCAATTACACCCACTATTAAAAGTCCTCTTGGCTTCCTGAAACATGATACCCTGGCGTCCAGGCACATGTACAAGTAGGCACCTCATAAATATTGCATGATGTAGAAACCTGTTAAGATGAATTTTCTAGGTTCCAAGAACAACAGAAAAATAAGCCTGAAAACTTGAAATCTAGGAACTGAAGTAAATTTATTTTTGAACTAATTTTTAATTTATGATCTTTTGGGAATGCACTAAGCTAAATTTACTTCTGTTATTTTTTTCAAAGCAAATCAACAGCACAGAGATTTTAGAAGGGATATTTATATCGCTAAACAGAAGATAATTCTCATATAAATAGAAACTTAAAATACAACTGATGAACTAACTGAAATCAAGTTTACATTCTCATGTAAATACATACCCTATGCACTTTCACTAGGAAACATTTCAGGGAAACAGGAAATCACAGAGCTGGAAGGGACCTGAGGACCATCCAGCCTAATTCTTTTGTATGACATACAGTATTTGTCTTTCCCTGTCTGACTGACTTCACTTAGCATAATGCCCTCAAGGTCCATCCATGTTGCTGCAAATGGCAAGATTTACTTTTCATTATGGCTGAATAATATTACACACACAGCATTGTAAACACACAAACACACACAGCAACAGTGCTGTAAACACACACACACACACACACACACCCCACCCCCCCACCCCACCCCCACCCCCCATCGGTTCTTTCTCTGAAGCATCCTAATACAACACTAAACAATCTGAGTTCAAAGGAGGAAGAACGTGGTCTCCGTGGATACGGTAGCCTGCTTGCCACTTGCTAACCGAAGGCCATTCACAACCTCCTTCTCCCTGTCTTCCTCTAGTCCAGTGGTTCTCGACCTTCCTAATGCCACGACCCTTTAATAGTTCCTCATGTTGTGGTGACCCCCAACCATAAAATTATTTCGTTGCTACTTCATAACTGTAATTTTGCTACTGTTATATCTTAGGCGACCCCTGTGAAAGGGTCGTTCGAGCCCCAGAGGGGTCATGACCCACAAATTGACAACTGCTGCTCTAGTCTAAAGGCTGAAAAGCGAAAATGCAGATTCTTCACCTTTCACAGCTAAAAGCATCATGGGAGCCAGTTCAACAGTAAGATGCAGGTGGGGAGCCCTAGGAGGGCGTCCCTTCGTTCTCTGCTTTTCACTGCATCTTCTTTTTCCTGTCTAGAGCTTGGACACACTGAGTGGGGCTGGGGGCAGCAGTCATCCTGGGACTATGAGGACAAAAGGCACATGCTAGGGATGGCTGAGGAGGAAGACAGAGGATTCTGGGTCTGTGATGAGATCTACGAGAAACTGCTCACCTTGGGCTGTAGATTCTCCACAACTCGAGACAGAGATACCATACCTACTAAAGTCAGTTATCTGTAATTTGTAGCCAAGCCCTTTCCTAATATACTATGCTAGCCCCCATTTTCAACTACAACAATAAACCAAAGGTGAACATGACCCCAATGTTAATAAAATACAAGCACTCATTCAAACATTCTTTGAGGGTCTGCCATATAGACGTCACATAAGAGGTACTAACTCCAAAGCGTTCCCATTCCCGACCAAGGAGGTGGGCGGGCAGCCAGCTTGCTGCCTGACATTCCAGGTTAGTCTGCGGAGAAACCCAGGGGATCCCCTGTGATTCTTGTTATGCTTTCAAGGGACAAAAGGCTAATGCTCAAGTAGATGAAATCTTGGCGAACTATTAGTAGTGGATCCAACTTTTCCCATTTAATTCGCTAATTTCTAAAAGTTCTTTTTAATAAAAAACGGATCACATTCACGGATTCTCACATCATCAGAATAAGCTCAGGGGCCTTTCTCATGCAGTGAAATCAACGTGTCTCCATCCAAGTTGGCCCCAGAGGTCACGGGAAGTCATGATACAGAGGAAGGTATAATAGATTTAGTCAAAAGGTCTACATTCCCTGTAGACTCTAAGCTCCATGGGTCCTTGCCTGAGATTAAACCTCTTACTGCTTGGTTGGTGACAGCAGTTCTGGTAAATGAAATATATGCAGCAACGTGCAGTCTTTTACTTACTTCTGTTTCCTACTGAGCACCGACAGTCATTTACTTTTGGATCAATGAAATAAGGGCGGAGCTCTCTGAAAGGTCATTAGGCTATTCCCCGGAAGTGCTTCCAGCTGGTTCCACACAACATACCTTGTCCTGCGTCTGGCACCGGATACAGTCACAGTCAAAGCAGTACTGGTCCCGCAGCTGCTTGCGGCGCTCCTCACTGGTCATCAGCATGTCCAGGTAGCAGATGGTGAGCTGCGGAGGCCAAAGAGAAAAGGGTCACATGGCTGCTGTGCTCATTTCCTTTAACAAATGGTTATCATTACTATTGCTAATTATTAAAGTAAAACTATTTTTATTATACACCAAAAAGTGTAAGAGAGAAGATACTACTTACTCATAGTGTCTCCATCCAAATCACGTGTAAAATTTTTCTTGCAATGCCTTCCGATCTTTGTTTTATGGTGAGCACATGTATTTCTTTTAAAGAACTGAGCTCATTAACTCTAGACACTTGGACACCTTACCTTTTTATTCAATGGACAGTAAAATATCAAGAGCTGTTTCTATGTACAGTGTCACTAAAGTTTGGTTAATACATTCTATAATCACTGCTAATCAGAGAAGCCGAACTAATCCTGGCGATCAAACGGGGTGGCAGGCGATGTGGCCAGATCGCCCTTAAATCCTCACCAGTTCTATAGCTGCCTCGTGGAACTCAGGACAACCAGATCTGGCATCTTTGCCAGAGACTGTTTCTTACTTGTGACTAGATTCAAAAACAAAGTGGAATAAAACACAGGGAGAATTTACCGTCAGAGTACAGTAACTGATGGACACTCTTAAATGGACTTTCCCCGACCCTTTCAAATAAAGACAGATGAAAACCCTGGGTGAGCAGGCACACTTCAAGGACTTCTCAGCTTTCTCTCCAGCCCCATGAGTCCACTTCGAGATATAGGTCTTCAGGTAACACCGTGATGTTTATACATTTCTCACTTGAATAGATCCCCTAGGTGCTGAAGGTCTAATTCAAAATATACCAAATCAAACTCCTGACCCCCCTCCGCCCCGATCTGCTGCGTCTCAGTTGGAGCCTTTCCAATCTGTTGACAGTAATTCATCTTTTGTATTATCCAACCTGAAACCTTGGCATTGTCCTTGGCATCTCTTTTTTTCACACCCCTAACCAACCCACCAGGAAACTCTGTGGCCTCAACTTAACAATGTATCCAGAACCAAGCACACTCTGCCTTTTCCAATGCTACCATCCTGGTCGGAGCCACCATCACCTGCTGCCTGCAAAATGCAGTCTCACAGCTGCGCTCTTGCCTCCTCCTGGGCCCCGGCACGCCAGCCCCTGAGGGATGCTCTGAAAATGGAAGTTGGGGTAGACCTTTCCTCTGTTCCAATGCCCCAGTGGCTCCCCGTTTGCTTAGAGGCAAGGCCACGTCCTCTCAATGAACCCCCCAACTCCAAGTGTGGCTCCTGGCCAATTGCTGGTCCACGGTCTTACTAGTCTACCATGAAATAAGTCAAGAAATGCAAAGTTAACATTTATAGCAATTTGGTAAGAGACATTCTATGTGCCTCTCATAATAAAACACTGGACTTCTGCTTTCTACATTTTTAAAAATTTCATTCGCCAAATAATTCATTTTCATGAAATTTCACAAAAATATTAGTCTGCAATGCATTAGGAAGAAAAAAACTGTTCCTCAGAACAGGTGGTGAGAGAAGCAGAGGCCTCACAAAGTCCATCCCTGTTCCCTCCCTGGACCCCCGTTCTCCCCACTCCAGCTGCTGCCTCGTCTTCACACACACCCCTCAAGGCCGGGACACTGGCTGGTCCTCTGCCCTCTCCCCATCTCTTGGGTTCCGATCAAATCTCATGCTCTCACTGAGGTCTAACCTGAGCGACCCGATTCCCAGTGCACCCCGGTACTCCTAACTCCCTCACCCTTCTCTAGTTTTTCTTATTCTGTAACACACATCAGCTTGGGACATACTGCATAAATTACTTATTTGCTTTTGCATGTAGAAGGTAATTATGGGGGTCTCCGTGGCGGGGGAAGAAGGTGGAATGGGGAAGAAGGTGGAATTAGTCACTGAGGGACATGACAAAAGCTCCCTCGAGCAAACACCGTGTGGCTTTCGCAGGCTTAAAGGCAAGCCTCTCCGGGCTCCGAAGCACGACCGGACTTGTCTGCCAGCACACAGGGCAGAGCCGCCTCCTCGGCGGCACAGCACAGCTCCAGGGCCTCGCTCACGCAGGCGGCAAGGAGGCGTGGTGGCCGGCCAGAGCTGTCAAGGCCCCCAGACCCCCACCAGGGGGCCAGAAGCCACAGCCTCACCTGGCAGGTTGGCTGTCCAGCTCCTCACATGTTAGGCAACTAGAAAATGTGGCTCCATACACAGAAGCAGAAGGACCTGCCCTTAAGAAACATAGACAATGGCATTGTTGGGCCTCTGCTGCGGGCTGGGCACTCACCTGGACAGGCAGCATGGGACAGTGCAAACCAGCCAAGGTCCTGACCCCTGGGGTCTGCACCCACCTCTCTGAGTCAAGCCTGATACTCTTCTTACAATAACACAGCTGCGTCTCGTGCGTCTGGCGGCTGTGGGAGACGAGCTTCTTCCGGAGCTGCCAGCACCCTCAAACCTAAGCACTCAGGCCCGCGCTAAGCCTGTTCTGTGACCGCTCGGTTCCTGAGGCTGAGGCCACAGCCACGTGCTAGACCTTTCTCTTGCTTCGTGACCTGAAGCCAGGGCTGCCTCCGAAGTGCAGAGGCACATCAGGCAAGCTCCTCGTGTGTACGGAGAATACTCGATCCCAAATTCCAAACAGCCGAGTTCCAAGCACACTTTGAAAATCAGCCTATTACTAGTACGCTTGGGACAGTGCGCACATCCATCTTCCTTCGTGAGGCTCTCAGATCCCTGGTCTCCTTAAACGAGGTGAGAGGGTAAAATGAGCGGATCTATGATCCCCGCAGGAAGGCTCCTGACCGCTTCTCCCTGCCCGTGGGAGAAAGGCCCACACGGGCTCCCCAGCTCGTTCTCTGTCCGCCTTTCTGGTCTCAGCGCTTCCCCGCGTACCCCACCCCCGTCTGTCACAGGGAGGCGCACTGCTACGCCCCTGGAACAATGTACAGGACGCCAGCGCGTGCCATGGTCTCTGCCTCGGCGGGCCAGTGCCCCGTCCTCCACTGCCCGCCCCCTCAGAACTCTGGTCCCTCAAGCCGGGCTCAGAGACGCCTCTTTCAGTGAAGACTGCCCCATGCCCCCTGCCGCTCCTCTTCCCGGCACCGAGGTTCACGAAACACACGGTGTCAAAGATGAAGGTCTCATATTCACATGTGGGGGAAATGCCCGCTGCCAGATTACTCGCTGGTAATGACAGCTCAATCATTTTATCAGCCAAAGATGAAAACTTTTATTAAAGACTCACTGACTCACTAGTTTTAATGGAGAATCTGCTCACTAAATGCAGGGCTCATTTAGTGGAAACATACATATAAAACTTTACCATTGATCGGTAGATGCTTTAATGGAATAGAAGAAACCGCATTAAAATGTTAATGCCACTGACCACTGCTCTGCCATTGCACAGCTCTTAGGAAAAGTGCAATAAATCATTTCCAACAGCAGAGTAATATCATGAAGTTCTTTTCTGGACACTGAATGCATTGCTCACTTGAAAATCTCAAGGCAAAAGGAACCCCTTTTCCATGAAGCCCATCTTTTCACTTATGTACACCTGCATGGATAATATGACCAAATTAGAGAGAGACTTTGTTTTCATTTCTGGACTTACATTGCCACAATTATAAATTTTTATGCTAATACTGGCTCTGAACTGAAAAAAGACTTGGAAAATTCTGTTTTTACAAAGTCAAACCTGAGTGTTATTCTTGTTCTTTTCTTTGTTATGCCCTCGTAGCTATTCAATAATCAAATCCTGCTCATTTAAACTTCTATATATTACATTCTTCAGATCCATCTGGGCCACCACCTTAATTCCCCGACCTCAGGCGCCATCATGACCTCTTGCCTGGATTTCTGCATCATTCTGACCCTCGTTCTCGCAATCTCGCTGACACAGAAAATCTGATCATGCAGTTCCTCTGCCTAAACCCCCAATGACGTCCCACTGCCCGCCCCGCCCCCTCCCTCCCACAAACATTGCTGAGTGCCTCCTCTACAGCAGACACTGATAGGGAAACTTCAGGTGAGCGGAGCTCCCTAGTACGGCTCCCATGGGTTCCTTGCTCAGGCCCCTGCATACTCCTTCATCTGCTGGTCACACTGCTTCCTGCCCCTCAAACCCACCATTCTGCTCTCTGCCTCTGTGTCTGCCTAGAACACCTTCCCCATCTCAGGCACCTGTAAGTCTGTGGATGCTTTAAGCGTCCTGCAGTCACATCTCCGAAAGCCTTCTCTGACCACCCCTACCCTTGCCCCTTACTGCCACTTAGGTGCCCTGCTCCGAACTTCTAGAAAGCCCTGTGCACATTTATCCTTTTACATTTCTCACGTTCTGCTATTGTTCTCTGTTCTGTCAGTGTCCTCAACTATGCCATGACTTCCTGAAGGCAAGGCTGGGTCTCACTCATCCTCGTATTCCCAATGCCCAGTAAGGATACAGTGAATGTGTTAGATTTAGCAAATAAGGAAAGTGACTAGGAGAAGAAGCAGACTGCCCTAACTCCCAAACACTTCACATGGAAACCAATGTGCCCAATTCACGCAAAGCACATTCCCCCATTTATATGGCTCCAGAGAATGCTGGCAGCCAGAGGCATTGTGGGTAACACCTACACCCTCTTCTCACCAGGAATTCCCCCGACAGTGGCCTGGACTGTCCAGCTTTCTTCCCTAATCCATGGTTGGAAGACTGTCAGACGATAATGTGTGTTTCATAGCTTAACAAAGCCCTGAAGAGGCAGCCATCAGCCATCAGCTTGTGAGCCGGCACCTTAAACCACAACACAAACATCACCCTGCAGAGGTGCTGCACGAGGAGACAAAACCCCAAACCACCACTACCGCCGCCACCACCAAAACAAACCTGCAACGAAGCCAACAACTCGGCATCACAATGAAAACTCTTAAGTAAGAAAGTGGTCACTTAGGTGCTGGTTTAAAGGGAAACGGACCAAAAGTGGGCCAAAGGGTGGTTTCTGTGGGGAAACAAAGGGTAAGACATTCCCAGGGGCCTTGTTACTGCGGGGCCCCAGGCAGTTTCCAGCTTTCCTTGCCTGAGTTTGAAAGGGTCCCACCTCAAACTGGCAACACGCTGGCTTTCCTGTCACTTTCTTTCCAGGCCCATGGGACACACACAAGGATTGGTGGTAGTTTCACGGAGGGGGTGGAGTTTATTCCACCTCTGGTCTTGTCCTCAGCAAGCCTCCTTCACCCATCCAACAGTACAAGCGGAGGAGCCTCAGAGTCAGACGCGGTGCAGCCCTGCGTCCCGGAGCCCCGTATTCTGTACTTACGTCCCACACTGAGCACATAAACTGGAGGGGCCCTAAGGAGCAGTACAGCCCAAAGGCAAAGGTGACGCTGAAATTACCAAACTTTCTAAATTTACTTCCTTACCTAATTTAACTAAAGCAAATATTTGCATAATAAAAGCAATTACCCCTATTAATCAACCTCAACATGTCTTTTCTCATGGTTCTCTTTCTCCTCTCTCTCTGTCCCAAGGGGTCAGTTCTCGATGTGCAGGATGTATTTTAGGTGTTGGGGATGGCTACAGGCATTAACTGAGAGGGGACACCAGCCTTCTTCAATGATGCAATGGTCTACACCATCAACCTGTCCCACTGGGATGCCACAGTGCCCACAGTGAGCAACGCTGCCGGGCTCTCTGGTCCGCTCAGTTTAACAGGAAGTCCATTCACTGAAGAGCTATTAAATGGCTCAGGGTACAAGGCACAGCGCTCCGTGCTAAAGGGGATGCAGAGACACAGAGGGTCGTAAGACACAGTTACTTGTCCTCATGACCCTCGTGGCTGAATAGAGATGTCACCACAAGAGCCAGAACGAATTCTAAAGAAATAGTAACAACCACCACAAGGAACAGAGGAAAAGCTCTCCCTTTAATTGGGGAGATTAGGAAAAGCTTACAGAAGAAACGGTGTCCGAGGGCCTTGGAGGGCAGAGTGAATGCAGGAACGGTACACAGAGAGTGGGGACAGCGGAGCAGAGGAGGTGTCAGGAACCAAGACAGGGACGATGGGATGGGAAAAGTATCTCCTGAGCACACTTGTCTAAGAAGGGCTGGGAGGAGAATCCGCTTTGCAGAGAAGCTGTCTGGCAAGCACCGCAGGGGACAAGATCAGCATCTGCAGGGCCCGACGCTGGGCAGGGCTACTTTGTGTCAGGGAGAGGGAGGGTTGCTCCCGAGATGGAAGGAGAAGGGTGTGGAAAGTAAAAGAAGCACCAAAAGACAAGGTATGTTTGCACTAGATGAAAACCAACCAAGGAGAATGACTGGAAGCCAAGCCTAGAAAATAAGATATAAGAAAATGTCTTTGTTGTTCCTGAACATTCCAATCATTTCTAACCTTGATAAGCAAACAGTGTGTTTTTTTAATTTAGTAAAGAACACTATCATCATCACCGTTATAACCACGATTATAAAACACAGAAGCTTTCATTCAGGTCCCAAACTAAGGTTTCTGAAAACGGATAGCAGTCCCCTTTCTTACCTGCCTCGAAGTCATATATGGCCCCAGAAAAATATCTCAGTTCCCCATATTGCTGACAGATATCCCTTGTAACAAGTCCTGAAAACTGAAAATTCAATAAATGGCTGTAGAAGCAACAGCTTCTTCCTTTGAAAATCAGCTTGGAGGGAGTCCAATCAAGGCCAAATCCTTATCTACTTAAAATACGGTACCTCTGAGTTTAGGTTTTATTGGCTGAGTGCTGCGTAAATGCAATAAAATCTTATGATATTCTGTTTTCCTCGCAATAAATATCCACTTCAGTAGATTGGAAGGTAGAAGGAAACTGGGTTCCATGCAGTGTCAATAGCTACAACCCAGAATTCAGAGTAGTGAAGGCTCAGGCCAGCAGGCCTAGGGCAGCTCACCTGCAGACCTTGGACTTCTGAGAAGGTTCCTCATCAAAAAGGGCTGGCCTGGCAGTGTGCCAAACTAGAAGGGTCAAGGCCAAATCACTGCAGGAGGTCACGGTCCCTGCCCTATATTCAGTTCGCATCTTTGCTTGAACAATCACTCAGACACACTGATAGGTTTGTAAAGGACTAATGACAACCTAAAAGAGTAAAGCTTACCTGCTTTCTTACTACTAATAAAAATGAGTCACCATCAAAATGTGACGAGAGGCCTTGGGGTAAGAAAGCCTTGGGATGTCAGCCCACGGAAGGATGACAACCAGTTACAGAACTATGAGAGCCACTGAACTGTCGTGTGTATAAAACACCGACACTGTCACACACACACCTCTCTCACACACATAAAATAGTAACTGTCATCATCTAGAAAAACGGTGACTAAAAAAAAATTAGTCCATCTATAATCTGGGAGAAGTAACGATGGGTAAGTTGACTGCCGGGCTGAGGTATCATATTTTCTCCTTGGCAGACGGACAATGAAAAGCTGTTCCTCAGGCACCACTGGTTTTAGGGAAGGACCATGTGAGAGGGTCTCTGATGGAAAAGGAGAGGGAACTGGGTTCTTACCTCCTCTCCAGCCTCGATGTCTCGGACAGCACGTAGTAGGAGGTGGGGCCCATTGAACACAATAGAACAGTTGGGGTCACAGCTGTGATTGAGCAAAGACATACTGGAGGAAAGAAAGAAAAAAAAAAGGGTGATCATCACAGCTCAGCAGAGACAATCAAACGTCCAAATTTAATGAATGCAATGGGAAGAAGACACTTTAGCTTGGGGAGAGGGGGAGAGGTAAGGCTCACTGTGCACCAGGGACGGAGTCCTCTGGGGGCAGTCACAGAAATGTCACTAGCCCACCTCAGAGGAACTGAAATGCTCCCCAAGATCGAGGCAAATAGGGGAAGTTTGATAATAAGTACATTTTCTGAGTCCTTTCGGGGGGTGCAAGTGAGGAGGGGTAGTTGTCTCATTAGATACGAGGTAATAAGACAATCTGATCGACGGGAGAAAAACTGACTTGCAGAGAAACGGCCTCCGAGTCAGGTAATGGGCTGCAGCAGCAACCACTGACCTTCGCACACAGGACCTCACTGCTCAGCTCCTCTGAGGAGGTCACCTCTGCCGGGACATCCACAGTGACAATGAAGAATAATTAGGAGTCCTTCTTCTCAAATAGAAAGCTAAGGTTAGTTATCTGGCTAACTAGATCCTGGTGCATTCTGGGCCACGGCCCAGTGATTCTGTCACCTTGCAGGTGCATTCTTACCATCTGGGAAAGAGAAATGGTTTTAAGCTGCCTACATTCTTGACAATAATTAGAATAACTGTAAGTGAGCATCTACTAGGTGGAAAGCACATTTTTAGCAGTTGAACATGTTTATCAAATTTAATCATCGTGATCATCTTGTGAGGGTCATTTAGAGATAAAGAAACTGACACAGGGAAGTTACGGGACTTGCCCAAGGGCACACTAGTTAGTGGTGACTGACCCTGAACCAGGCGGTCTGAACTCAGAGCACATGCGCCAAACCATTCTCCATTACTGCTTTCTGAGGACCAGCAAACAGACCTGCAGTTGGACACATAAGTGTCCATAAGATGTGCGAGAAGCGAAATTCTCGGATTCACAACTAGTTGTAAAAAGACTGGATTTGTATTTGGACCCCAACGGCATGAAAACCGAAGGAAACCAGGAGTGACGGGCGAGCTTGTGGAAGGACAGGCTCAGTGAGAAAGGTCACTTCAGTGGCAGCCAGTACTCTGGTCGCTGGGGCAACGGGCTCCAGTGTGCCAAGCCACAAGACAAAACGAACCAAGCGGTGCAGCCCAGTGGGTCTCGTGAAATAACCAAGTGCCCTGGCCTGGGAGGTTGGGAATGAGACCGGGGCTGGGGTGAGCGGAATAACCAAACCTCATCCTGATGGCTCATTAGCAACCACATCCCCAACTTCTAACCCAAAGTTCCTGAGAACAAGAACTTAGGCCTGAGGTTGGCCTCTGCCACCAGCACAGCACAGCGACCGTCAGCCTTTCCACCTCACGGCACGCAAACTCATCACTGACACTGTGGCAGACCAAAACATGTACTTTTTGATTCAGTCACACCAGATGGCTATTGTTGTGTTGGCTGTTGTCACTGTTTTCATTTGACACTCTAAGAGAAAAGAGGTCAGCGCCCCTGACTACGTAGTCAGGTATTGCAGGTTTTAAAATTCTTGCAGCTCGCCCTGGCCAGTTTGGCTCAGTGGTTAGAATGTCGGCCTGCGGTCCAGAGAGACCCGGGTTCGGTTCCCGCTAAGGGCACATACCTCGGTTGCAGTTTGTCCCCGGCCCTGGTTGGGTTGTGCGGGTGGCAACCACTCGATGTGTTCCTTTCACGTCAATGTTTCTCTCTCTCTCTCTCTCTCTCCCTCCCACTCTATCTGAACAAAATATGGAAAAATGTCCTCGGGTGAGGATTAAAAAAAAAAAATTCTTGCAGCTCACCGGTTGAAATTCACAGCCACAGCATAGAATGTGGGGTTATAAAATTGTTCCTTTCCCTTTCTTTTCCTTTTGTTATTCCTCACCAAGGATATTTTTCCATTGATTTTTTAAGATAGAATGGAAGGGAGGGAGGGAGAGGGAGAGAGAAACATCAATGTGAGAAAGACACATCAAGTGGCTGCCTCCCGCACGACCCTTCCAGGGGTTCGGGGATCAAACCTGCAACCCAAGTACGTGCCCTTGACTGGGAATCGAACCTGAGACCCTTTGGTCTGAGAGCCAACACACTAGCCACTGAGCCAAACTGGCCAGGGCTACAATTGTTTTCTTTAAACTTCACATTTTCCATTTTCTTGTAAATTGCCATCAGGTTTCAAGCCTGGCTCTCGAACTCGCTGCTGCAACAGCCTTTCTAACTACCTCCAAAAGTTGCTTCTCCCAGGCAATGAAACACCACCCACCATACCTGGGGTACAGGCCGACGCCGACTTCCTGCATCTCCGCATTACAGATGGTGAACGAATTGCAGATCACCTGTGAACAGGGGGACAGTTGGCATTACAGAGTCATCTAAGGGACTTCACAGGCAAGAGGACAACATTCTCAAAATAAAATGTAGAGGCCTTTTAGAAGCAGCTTTGGAAAGATCCAGCCAACCAAACCTGGATGCTCTTTCACTTGCAAAAGAACATACCCAGGACGCACTTTCCTTAAGAACATCGGGTGGTTAAGTACAGAAATGCCAACACCGTGTAAAATATATCAGGCTTAAACCAGCACAGGGCCTGTGCATTTCAGCCCATTCCTCTAACGTCAAGTTCTGCAGCTACGTAAAATGTTCAAAACGCAGAAGACAAAGAATCTATGTCCTGAGAAGCAGACTCCTACCACTCAAACGGCCTGTGGTTTCCAAGTGTCACTGTGTGTCTGATGAGTGACAGCAGCCTATCGTTTAGTCCCACAAAGAGTGAAGTGCACCCTGAGTGAGCCTGGGGTCCAGGTGGTGACAGACACAGCAAGCACAGGACGTCATTCAGTCAGGCCACGGCATCTATGAGGCACAGGTAGCCCTCACTGATTATACGGCAGGGTCCTATACCCCGGGGGAGATGGGCAAAAGAAATAAAAGATGCAACTGCTGTACTCCAGGAACTTAAAACCTATGGAAAGCCACACAGAGTCATGGAAGACCAGAGTCATGAAAAGAGCACTGGACTTTGAACCAGAAAAATCTAGGTCCTGGCCACACGTTAATGCCTCAGGGAGGTGTTGGGGACAGAGCAGTGGAGAAAAAAAACTCCTGTCTGAGCTTACGTTCTAGTGAAGGAGAAGATAAAACTCAATGACAGACACATGTCGCAAGGATCAATGCTAAGGAAGAAATGAGGTAAAAGGACAGAAGACAAAGTGCTCTGGAAAGCTCTTTAGGAGGTGATAGAAGTTCATGCCAGGAGAAAGAGCAAGTGCAAAGGCCCTGAGGTGGGAACGTTCTGGGGTGACGAGTAACAGCAGAAGACAAGTGTGGCCCAGGCAGAGCAGGTAAGAAGAGGGGTAAGACATGAGATTCAAGGGGCAGGTAGATCATATAGGAACTCATAGCCATGTTTGCATTTTATTGTGGCTAACAGAAAGCCAGGGGGTTGATTCTGAGCCAAGGAGTGAATGGATCTGATTTCTATTTTGAAAGGCTCACTCTGGCTCTTGCATAGACAATGGGTATAGAAAGATAAGGATGGGAGCAGAAGTGAACAGTTAGGTGGCCAGTGCAATAGTCCAGGCAAGAAATGATGGTGGCTTGGATTCTGAAAGCAGTGGAAGTGGGGAGAAGAGGGGAGAGGGCAACAGATTTATTGATGGACTGCTCATGGGGAATGAAGAGTCAAGGTTCAAGTTTAAGGCCTGAAAAAGAAGATTACAGTTGGCATTTACTGCAGTTTTGCATAGTTGTCAGAGAGAGAAGAAATGTCACCCTGGTCTGTAGCTGAAGACAGAAAATCTTCAGGGTCCCAGTCACAAGGAGGGATAGAGATGCGGTAGGAGGCCGGATGACCTCTGAACAGTGCAGCTAGTTCAGTGGGTCCAGAGCGCAGCCCAGAGGGTACAATCAGACATGACACAGCACGTGGATCTTGGGGGTCAAAACAAGAAGCTGATGTCCTGGTCCAAGGTCGGACAGAGTCCTTGGCTGCAGCTCTGGTGCCCTCAGCAAAGATGGCAATCCCGCACCAGGAAACACACTGCCGCACCCCGTTCTTCCTTGCATTTGCCAGAGGAACTTATTTAAGCTTGTGTACACGTGAAAAAAAAAGCAGACTGAAAGAAACAGGATTTTGCAGGGAGTTGGAAGGAAGTCCTACGGTTCTGCTGGAGTGAAGCTGAATTTGAAAAGAACTAGTAGACATTGAAGCCAAGTGAGAATGTGCACCTGGACTTCACGGGAGCAGCCAGGGTCCGAGACATAACCTGAGGACCAAAGAGAACAAAGCCCATGAAGGGGAGTGTAGGAGAGGCCGCTACAGGATCCAGGGAACCAGTGACACATGACAACAAATGTCTCTAAATCAGGTTTATAGGAAAGGATATGAAGGATGAAAAAGGGCCGGGTCCTGAGAATCTCCCTTGCTCCAAAGAGCTTTGTGACATCTAGTGCAACCGGTCACGGTTTGGCATTGTTCCTCCTAAAGTCTGATAAAACTGCAGTTTCAAATCAGGAACTAAATTACACATGCACAGATTTTAAACACACACTAGTTAAGTTGCCGTAAGAGCATATGTTTTATATTAAGTCAAAGCCGTGTGCTGCCTACATGTGTTTATGTATGAAATGGGTGGTGAAAACACAGGGCAAAAAAATACTGTTTTCTTTTTTAAACTTTAAACTTTTTAAAATGGGCATAATTTTGGGGGGGGGGGGGCATGGATTTTAATACGTATGTTTAAAGTGTAATCAGGAATTTACCTGAAGCAATCCACCAATAAAAAATCAGGTCAAAGAGATCTAATTTGCTAACTTTTGAATCAAATGAAAATTGAAATCTTTTTCTGAACTGGGAAGCAAATTAAAGAATTTTACAAAATAGGTTTATTCCAATGAAATACTTTTAAAGGAAGAGCTAATAAGGGAAATGTCAACTTGACTGTCTCTTCCTCTAGGAAAGTACCTGATCTCCAGACTTAGCTCTTCATCACTCTGGGTCATAATGTACCCATCTACGGACACCATACACAAACAGACTGTGAAATACTCAGAAGGCAATGACAGTGTTCCTGACAGATGGGTGGTTGCTTGGGTGTGGCCCTCATCACCCAGAACAGGATCTGAGAAGAAGCCAGAAACCAAACGCAGGTGCTGTGACAGAGATGGACTGGTTCTGTGCCACAAAAGGAGTGAGCAGAGGTTCAGCTTCCATCTCGCTTGCGCTTAGGCAGCTGAAACATCATTTCAGTGGTTGGGATGACACTTTTATCCATCAGAGGAGCACAAGGATGAGTCTGAGTCTCTGCTTAAAATTCCAGAGCCTCACACATTGGGCACAAAATACATATTTGCAAATGAACAAGTGAATGAATGAATGAATGAATGAATGAATGAATGAGTAATAGTCCCCATGTTTCTCTCCTTCCCTTTCATTTCTCTTGCATCTTTTCCTTTTAATCTTCTCTTTCTTCCCTTCTTTTTCTTTTCCTATTTTCACTGTTACCAACCTGCCGCCCTCATCTCTCCTTCTGCCCTAGTCCACAATCCGAGTAGGATGTTTGAAAGCTTTATTTCGCAAAGTTTAGACAAGTGCTCATTTGTATTATTCTGAGAGGAATTATGTGCTAGTGCTCCTGAGGTAGTGTATATAAAATTTAAGTTTTTGACTACTCCCAATTCCATTAAAAATATTAGTTCCATTCAGCATTAGCTGAATTAAGAAAACTTTATTATAGAAAATAGTTTTGACATATATAGTTATAGCAATGGTGGATATGAGGTACCACTTGGTTTTTTTCTTCTATAAATGAAAGAATAGGTAGATAATAAGTCCATTTGTGCTCAAGCGAAAATGGGGAAAGAATTGCTTTTCATACCAAGATACGGAAAAAATGAACATACAGCCCAGAAATAAAAATGTAAACATTTTTTCCAAACTATTATCTTTGTATAAACAATTTTTTTTTTTTTTTATAGAAAACTGCTCAAGCCCGGCAGGTGTGGCTCACTGGTTGAGCACTGACCCATGTACCAAGAGGTCGCCAATTCGATTCCTGGTCAGGGCACATGCCCAGGTTGTGGGCCTGATCCCCAGTGGTGGGGCATGCAGGAGGCGGCCAATTGATGTTCTCTCTCATCAATGTCTCCATCTCTCTCTCCCTCTCCCTTCCTCTCTCTAACATCAATAAAGAAAAATTTTAAAAACAAAGAAGACTGCACAGCTAATAAATGAATACTTTACACAAAGACACATTTAGAAAGACATATTAATGGGATTACAGCAGTCCCTTGTCCTTGGTTTTGCTTTCTGTGGTTTTGGTTACCTGTGGTCAACTGCAATCCAAAAATACTAAACGGGAAATTCCAGAAACAAACAATTCACGTTTCAAATCTCTCCCCTTCCTGCTCCATCCCACCCAGGACAGGAATACTTTCTTTGTCCAGCGTCTCCATGCTGCATATACTACCCACCCCTTGGTTACTTAGTAGCCATCTCAGTGATCAGAGGAACTGTCCAGGTATCACAGTGCTTGCGTTCAAGTCACCCTTATTTTACGGACTAATGGCCCCAAAGCACAAGAGGTTGTGATGTTGGCAATTCAGATATGCCACAGAGAAGCCATAAAGTGATTCTTTTAAGGGAAAAAGTGAAAGTTCTCGACTTATTAGGGAAAGAAAAAATATTGTATGCTAAGACCTCCAGTAAGACTGAGTCTTCTAGCCATTACATTGTGGGAAGGATACAGAGATGCTGCTAGTTCTGCTGTCGCACCTCAACCGTCAAAAGTTGTGGTCACAGTGGGTGGTAAGTTCGGAGTTAAGATGGAAAACACATTAAACGTTATCACAGGTGTGCGGATGGGAAAGCACAGCACAGTAGGATTCGATTCTGCCCTGGCTCCGGGCATCCCCTGGGGCTCCTGGAACCTACTGCCCGTGGATAATGGGGGACTACTGTAGTTCAATAAGAAAACAATTTTTTAAAATACTAAGTTTGAGTATTACTTTCACAATATTTCCCATGCCATGACATTAAACAGCTGCTTACTCTTCATCATTTTTCTTCTGAGATCGTCAAAAGCCTTTAGAACGCTGCAGCCTTTCTAGATGATAAAACTCGAGTGGTCATTGAACCTCCAGATTTTGTAAAAACAACTAAAGTGAAACTTAAAATACCCTATGAACTAAATTCGCATGTCATTTGGTTCAGAATCTAGGTCCAGAGCCTGACACGGATGTTCCGAGGTTACAAATGCTCCGGTGGTGATGATACCCACACACAGGGAACACAATACCGCAGAGGCTCATTTTATATTCGTGTTTAAATTTCACATTT